AACGGAGGTCGGGCCAGCAGGGGAGATCCTTGAGCCGAAGAAATTCAGAGAACGATTCCGTAATACGATCGGGGCCCTAGTAAGAGATAAATTGAACCCAGCAATCCCTAACTAGAAAGAGGTACCAGAGAAAAAAAGGGATGAACTATGGGATAAGCAGCTGAAGCTCAATTTTAGATTTTCAGAGGGTAAGCAAGAACTGGTAAAAAAATGCTTTCAAGATCATGGGAGAGTCATTCCGATGTTGGAGGCCGGAGCTCAACAAGAAGTATATCCAAAAGGGGTTAACTCCCTTCAACGAGTTAGGCAACATAACTCCTAGTCAATGGGAGGAGCTCATGGCTCAAAAGACTTCACCGAAGGCATTAGAGCTCAGTGCCCGTAACACCGAGCTGGCGAAGAGGAACAAACACCACCATCATCTAGGCCCCGGTGGCTACTATGCCAAGGAAGAGCAGTTTAGGAAGATGGACGAAGAGGCCGCAACTTCTGGGAATATCGATGTGAAGAATTTGAAGGTATGCTCAAGGAATTGTATATATGCAAGGCGTACAGAATCATCCGACGGTAATCTTGAGTTTGATAAGTCAGAGACCCAAGAGGTAGTATCAAGGATACTGAAATATGCTGAAGACAAGGAGAAGGGCTCATTCAATCCTTCCAGAGAGAGGGACAAGCTTAGCCTTGGCTTAGGAAACAACGAGCACACAGGCCGCACTAGGGGGCTAGGGAAAAGGATGACCTGTAAGCATGGATTCGAAGAGGACAGGCACATGTACAAGAAATATGGTAGAGACCGGGAGGCTAATCTTGAGCTCCAGGTGAAGGCTCTAGTTGTAAAGGCGCAGGAGAAGCAAGGCTATGGAGCCATAGACATTAATGGCGTCGCTGGGAGAACAGGCATTAGTTGGCAGCCCTCCGGAAGTTCCTAGCAGCCAAGGTTCCACTGCAGCCACAACCCTCGTTGATCGCATACGGGATCAAGCTAGTTGCACCTTGGTGTTTCTTAGCAGCTGGCAGAACACTGTGATGGAGGTGGCAACGGGTGTGGCACATCCTCCCAGTGGCTTACACCACAATAATAAGATACCGCCAGACTACACTAGGGTCGAGGTGCATACCGTGAAGCCCGAGTTCATGTAGTGGAGGATAGACTACGCAACTCCTGAGGGGCTGGTGTTACTCGGAGACGTAATGGGGTAGTTCATCCTCTAGCACAAACGGAACATTATATTGACTGCTTCTTCGCCGCCTCCCCCCCTCTCAAATTTAGAGCGAGTTGTTGAGGACGGGGAGATATTTTCACCGTCTCGTGACCACCACATTCCTGAGATGCCACATTCTTCCCCGCCTCCTAGCGAGCATGTGCCTGATAAGCCACAACCTTCTCCAGATCATACCGAGCAAGTGCATGATGAGATGCCACCGTTTTCTCAACAAGCGTAGCTGATACATGAACAACGAGTGCCTCCTGAAGAAGGTGATGCACAAGAAGATGAGGACGTGCCTAAATGGGAACTTTGAAAGACGTCTAATTTATGTTCCAATGAAAGACGTCTCGTCGGTGCACAAGTGGTATGCCCATGACCAGTTCAAGCCTGAGAACCAAGTTAAAAAAGTCCCAGCACGGGCTTCTGAGGAGGCCGCCACTAGCAAAGTCCACCAAACAGTAAAGAAGTATCCAAATGTTGATGCCATCAAATGGTCAAAGGATTGCCCAAAAACATATGAAAGAGGCAAGCCCTTCCTACCAAACCGGGACATTCAGCGCCTACCACTTAGAATGAGAAGGTTCCATGATTGATACTTGTGTGTTCTCCTAACGAGCATAGACCTCGTACAAGCATGCTTCCCCGCTGGCACATTTGGAAGCCCAGCCGGGAAAATTATCTTTGACTTCAATGACATGCAGACATGCTTTCACCTCGGTGCAATGGAAATGAATCTAATTCGCACGTGGTGCCTGTAAATCCTTTCCCTCCCGATATGATATGAATGTAATCTTTGGATTTTGTTGTAACTAACCCACGCCGTGATTTGTAGAATGCAAGTGCACATTGTAAAACAAATGCTAAGTGTGAAAGCCGGGTATATAGACCCTCAAGCTATAGCATAAACAAATTTTAATTACCCTAGACAGTGAAAACTGGATGCCAAAGAGTTAGCTGCTGGAAAGACCCTTTGAAAGAAAGAGGACATCTATGCGAAGAAACTAAGGCAAGAGTCACTTAAGGTTTTGACATACATTGCCCTGGCTTTTAAAAATATCCAACAACACTCTATTATATGACTACCTTACAACTTCGAGTAAGTTCAACTCTATACTTAAAGCTTTGTTCGATATATTTTATTCGATGCAAAAGAGCTTATCTAGTTCTATGATTAAATTCATGCAGCAACCACTGGATTTGTATAGGCGTCGATGTCGAGGGGAGCATGGCATGGGTCCTTGATTCAACAGATAGGGACCCGGTGACATATAAAGGCTTCATATCGATTCTCAAGACGTATACATATCGACAATCCTCATTAGCTTATATGTTTGTATACATACTTGTAACGTTCACTTTTGAATACTAACAAGTTGCATTTGCTAAAATAATTCAAACAGGGCATTCAGGTTCTATGTCAATGAACATCACGAAAGGTATGATCCAGTCAGGAAGAAAAGGCTGGCTATAAAAATACTATATGCGGTAAGTGTAACTTACTTTAGTACTCCATTACATGGCTGTCAAAAGCATTACTTAATATTTCCATATGCAAAACACACAGTGCCCCAAGCAGAAGCCCGAGAGTGTACATTGTGGATACTATGTATGTTCTATGATGAGTAACACTGGTGCCTACAGGAGGCACCCCTTAAGGGTAAGTTTAAACCTCTTCACCCGTAGTATAAAAACTTCGCACATGATATAAAGTACTAAACCGAAACTTGTTCTCTTGTAGTGGAAAGAAGAGAAAAAAAAATGAAAAGAGACCCATACAAGGATGACCAACTCTTAAAGCTCGTCGGCGACCTTTGCAACTTCATATTGGACCAGATTGTACACGTCAAAGGCACCTACCGTGACCGAGATTCTGACTTAGGTAGAAATCCTCAGTACAAACACCTTCGTGAGACTGAAAGGCTAGCTCTAGGCCGTTGATAACAATGCATATGGAATTTGACATTGGTCTTACCTTGTGGGACGGTTTGAACTTGTGGAACGAATTAGACTTGTGAATTATGTCTATTTAATGATGGATGGTATATATTCTTGTGAATTGGACTTGTAATGGTAGTTTATATAATGCTCTTGTGCTTGTGGTCAGATTTGAATTATATATAGTTAGATTTTAATTATATATATATATATATGTTCTGGTCGAATTTGAATTGTAAATTTGAATTTTTTTGACGAAAAAATATACTGTAGGGACGGTTCTATACTGAACCGCCCCTACAAACAGGTATTATAGGGGCGGCTGGTACTACGGCCGCCCCTACAAATCAATTTTATAGGTACCAGGGGCGATTGATAACACCAGCCGCCTCTACAAATCGATTTGAAAGGGCGGTCTGGGAATCGCCCCTACAAATACATAATTTATAGAGATGGTACGGTAGGGGCGGCTGGCCAAGCCACCTCTATAACGCCTCACCAGTCGCCCTAGCCCTCTCTATAAAACCTCACCAGCGGTCTCAAAAAAAAAATCATTCATGTAGCAGTGTGAAATGGATAGCCGAGCTCCGCCAGCAGTGAACCAGATTCCTTAAAGAAAGCGAGCACAATCCGGATGCCGAGGATAGCTAAAGAATAAAGATAGCTGGCCTCGATTCGCAGCCAATTCCACACCAGCTCAACGGCATCTATGATCTATCCGGCGTTGCCCGACGATCATATTTTCCCGCGTTGCTTCCTCCACGTCTCCACGGCATCTGGCGCTGGTGTCTTCAACTAGTTGATTGCAGCATACTACTCGTTTTATTTACCTGAGTTGTTAGTATACTCGTCATCGTTATACGTGTCTTCAACTAGTGCGATCCCATGGATCTATTGTAGTTCTATAAATGATTTGCCTGGTAGTATACATACTTAATCACGCAATCAAGGTAATTAAGTTTTAAATAAAATGATTTTTTCTTACAACTTGTACATGGCGGACAGAAGTTGGATTGGATGTGCTTTGAGATCCCTTTATGTCCAGAGTACTTGATCTGAGGTTCCTTCATGAAAGGAGTGACGGGGGCAGCCAAGATGAATGCTTGGTATATATACCATCTACTATTGCCTAATCCATATCAAAGTTATCAAACCGTTGATTAAAAACTAGGGGTAAAACACAAAGAGAAAAATAAAACAGGGGCAAAATCACATGGATAAATTTGTCTTTTTGTCCAAAACTTAAGACCGTTAAGAACACTTCATAGAACAAGGGCAAACTCTCTCTTCATTTTAAAGACGTAGAGGTAAAATCACAAAGTTAAAAACAGAGGGCAAAATCACCATTTCGCTACAAAACAGAGGCGGAAACACTTAAGCTCTTTTATATAAAAAAGAATATCATAAGTATGTAGATCTCGTATTTATTGAAAAGTAATTATGTGATTTTTTGGGTTGATATGCATTGGTTGATAAAAAAAAAGAAGGCATTTTTTTGCGAGACAAAAGAAAGAAGGCATTGATGTAGCGAATGAATCATATCCTCATCTGTCGTTTGGCCAGGCTATTCCCTCGTGAAGACATTATTAATCTTTTTTTTCTAATCAATGATAGCCAAACCTTTGGTTCAAGACTCCAAATATATACGCTCTTGCCCACAATTGTAAGACACCACCCACCAGGTACCAATTTTCCTCTAGCTTCTCGCCATGGCCATGCCAATCGCACCGATGGCTGTGATAATGGCGATGCTGCTGATGGCCACATCGTCGGTGGCACACTACAACCATTACCTGCCGCCCCATGCTCCAGGGCCGCAACACCACGCTGCTGCGCTGAAGCATCATTACCACCATGGCCATCACGCCCCGGCACCTGCACCAGTGCCTACGCAGTCAGCAAGTTCTCCTAGCAATGGTGGTACTGGTGCTGACCATGCACTGGCGCCAGGTCATCATGGCCGCCATGCATCAGCTCCGGCGGCGCCAGGTCATCACGGGCACCACAGCCGACATGCATCAGCACCTGCGCCAGGTCATCATGGTCACCACGATCGCCATACATCAGCACCGGAGCCAGGTCACCATGGCCACAACGACCATCACAGTCATCATAGCCATCATGCCCAAGCGCCAGCGCCGGACCATCGTGGCCATCACGCCCACCGCAATCATGCCCCAACACCATCGCCGGTCCACGCTGACCAGCCACCGCACGCTCTGCACCACCCTCGGCATCACGCTCCATCTCCGGTTCCTGCTCCTGTTCATGGCACACAAGCCGGTCAGGATCAGAGCTCCTAGTTGCAAATGAGCAATGATTGTATAACGTGTGGCAAAATGAAAGATAATATTTCAGGTCGTCTGTAGTTTCATGTAGCATCTCTAGAATGCTACCTAAACAGGCCCACTACTCTATATTAAGTAGTGGGAGAAAACTAGTCTCTATCAAGCTACCTACGTGCCCTTCTCTCCCCAGATTTGTTGGTTACCCAATCCATTCCCACACGTCAAATAGGGGGGCCTCTAGTTTTCCGTTGTATCAATTTCTTCTCTTGCCACGTCTGACCCCTCCTTGCCCGATGGCTTCTCCCACCTGCCGCCTCCTCCACGACCCGTGACACTGCATCCCCGCTCGACCTCGTCTCCTCACCGCCCAATCCACCTCCCTGCTTGACCTCGCCTCTTTCCTCATCATCTAATCTCGCCGTCGGTGCCTCCTCTCCACCCGACCTTGTTTTTTGATCGTAACAGGAGGGGTGTGCCCTCTACTAGGTTCGACACCTCCTCCTTCCCGTTCGGTTCCTCGACACCCGGTGCCACCTCCTCCTCTCTAACCCAATTCTTTTTCATCCGACGCCTCCTCCTCTCTCGGTCGAGCATGCCACCGATGTGTTGTCGTCTGCCGCGTCATGCGCTACCAGACACATGTGGCTGGGCCGCTCTGAGCTTCTTTTAGTCAAGCCACAACCAGCCCCGAGGGAGCATAGGCCTAGCGTAGCTCGCCGGCTTGCCCCTTGCCACCGGTGTGGCCTGCACTAGATGAATCAACCGTTCCCCTCTCCATGTTGGTGATATGCGTATGTCAAGGAGGAAGTGTGGGAAAAATAGAAAGAAGACAGAGGTGAGGAAGTGCACGGGAGAGAGGGTGGAGAGAGAGAGAGAAAGTTTGGTAAGGGTTATGGTGATTTAGAATTAGTCTAGGTTCTATTGAGCACACATCTTTTGTATTTCGACTGTAATTCTTGGTCTGCACTCTGGTTTTGTTGATTTTGGACCTTTTACAAATCTTACGAATTGCTTTGCCATTTTTATTTTGGGTGGACGGAAAGATTTGGTCTTGGAAAAAAGTTCAAAATGCACTATATATGTAGCGATGTGCGTCGCTAGATCATGCGGCTAGTTGCATAACCCATGACTTTTTATACTTCACCCATATTTTTTTTTCTTTGAACTCCGATTTTAGTGATTTTTGATTCTTTAAAAGGGTTTGAAGAGCAACACATGTTGACAAAATGAAATGTCCTGACAAATTCAAATTCTAGCTAGGACAAGTCCAATTATTCTTCTCTTTGTTTTGGCTTCATCTCTTCAGTATCTTAGGTATTCTTTTGCCGTCGAATGGATCCTTAGGTGTTTGTTTGTTCAGATCCATCGGCTTGCATTGCATCCATGCAAAACCTATGCAATAAGGGTCATTATGGCCCCGTTCGGCTTACTCAGAAACCGACTTGTTCGGCTTGTTTTTTTTCAGCCGGAACAATATTTTTCTCGCCGGAGTAGGGTTTTTTTCTCACAACAATTCAGCCAGAACAGTGCTTTTCAGCCAGTTTCAGCCAAGTTTCAACAAGCCGACCAAGCCGGTTTCTTGACAAGTCAATCAGACACAGCACCGCAACATGAGCGTCGATGGTATGATTGATTGATCCGCAGGAGCCCAAAAGTGACTTGCGATATCCAAGTAGTCGTGGCAGAGCATCCCCGTTCGGCTGGCTGAATTTGGCTGAAAAATACTGTTTTGGTTGAAATGTTGTGAGAGAAAAACACTGTTCCGACTGAAAAAACAAGCTAAATAGTGCCGTTTTTAGGGTAAGCCGAACAGGACGCTGTTCTGGTTACATGTGTTATTCAATCAACAGAGATACGTGAAAAAGGCACTTTACCAAGACTAGCATCTAAAATGAAACCAAAACAAGGTACTCATCGCCCACTGACCTCTGCTCCACCCTAAAAAGAATATTTAATGACAATGCTAGCGTTCGGATGTTACAACGGACGCGCACGTCCTAACGCCCGCGCCTACACTTTATTTTACGCGCTCATGCAGGCCCGCGCCACTCGACGTCGCTCGCACTGCCGATACCACGCGGGGACCGCTCGCGCCCCCTCCACTTCCCCAGTTGGACGTCTGCGCCCGCTCGGCGGCACCCTGCAGCAGGCGGCTACGGCAGGTGAGTCTCTAGCAGTGACACCTGATCTACTTTTGAAACGTCCATATGATACATTTGCAACATGCGTTTGAAGACAGATGAAACACTTGAAACATGCGTCTGAAATACTTGAAAAAACACATGAAAACACTTGAAAAAAGCCATTGCAAAGCATATGCAACATCCACATAAAACATTTGCAACATAGGTGTGAAACATATGCAACATCCAAAGAAACATACTTGCAATGTACATCCGAAAAAACATATGAAACATTTGGAACAGATACTTGCAACATACATGCACAACCACTACAACATGTGCAACATCCCGATCTACTTTTGCAACATCCATTTGAAATACTTGCAACATACATGTGAAACATCTAAAACAATTAAAACGTATGCTTGTAACATGCGTTTTTAGCTCAACATCTCATTGCTGCTCGAGAGAATGGAGGCTCGTCGACATGTAGAGTTCACCGGAGCCAGCGGCCTGACGACGCTTGTAGGCAGCGGGCCGCCCGCGGTGGTTGCATGACATGGAAGAGAGGCATCGGCCGCGCGACGTGGCGGTAGGCAGAGGCCGCACGACTGGGAGAGGCGGCCGCGCGCCGCGCCTGGCAGGGCTGGCAGCCGAGCATCGCGATTTAGAGGTGACCGCACGCCGCGCCTTGTTGCAGACGAGCGAATAGGAACAAGTACGTGGACTATAGGATTTTTTTTATTTAGAAACGGAGGAGCAGGAGGTCTTGAGCTAGCGTCGCGCGGCCCACCAATGGAGCGTCCGGGCAGGGGGACGCTCGCTTCCCAGCATGACCAAATGTTTAATTATTCAAACTTTAAGCGTTTTTCAATATCATAAAGAGGAATGTTATATATATATATATATATATATATATATATATATATATATATATATGTCTCCAAATAGGTTTGCTATAAAATATATTCTATAATTAATTCACTAATACTTATTCAATATCATAAAGAGGATTGTTAATGCATTTTAGATTTATTCAAATTTAATATTATTTGACTTCTTAAAAATAAGAATTATATTTTTTGGGAACAATGGGAGTACTAAGTTGGAACAACAAATGAGCTTGTTACTCCGAGCCTCAGACTCTCAGTCTCAGAGCACGAGTAGAGACCGAGTACAAAGTATAGATCTCCAATTTTAGGGCTTGTTTGGAATGCATGAAAATTTCTCGGCACATGTGTTTTTTTCTATAAAATTCTTATATAATTGCTATAAAATTCCTACGTTCTAAACAGATGCTCAAGCGGCTTCTTGGTTGGAGGTCGTGATAATCGCGCTAAACATGCCGCAGTGGACCAGTCGTGTGACAGCCTCCGCGAATGCAACACAGCCAAATTTGAACGGGGGCTCACGACTCCTACTACACCTAGGGCGCGATTGGTCCGCTTCAGGCTCAGTCTGGCTTGCATCCATCAGCCAGTCTCGTCGGCACAGGGTCAACGCATGCGAGTTAGATCCGTTTGGTTGCTTGCTTCACTGTAGCCAAATCCATGAGAGAAGTTGTTTGGTTCCCGCTCGTCCCGCATCGCTACTCTCTCTGTCTGTGCCACGCATGCACGCTCTCTGCACCATGCCGTCTAGGCCGGAAAAAAATGAAATATATATTTTTCATTTTAACAGTCAGGCTCGGCGTGCATCCAAACATTGTACATTGGTTGGAAGGATAAGTCGTTCATCATTGACAAACAATACTTGATGCGTGCTTTTTTGTTTTCATCGGTCAAACTGAACATGAGATCGTTAGTGTGACAACGAAAATATCCTTCTCTGAAACGATTATGAAGTGTGCTCTTCTTAACACCTGATGCACTAGCAAGATCTCGAAAGGCTATGCGCTGCCTAATAGGGATGTCTTTTATCACCTCTAAATCTACTTCTATTCGTGTCCGGCCACAATTCCTAAAATACTTGTTCACGATTTGATTTATTCCACCACTTTGACGGTTTTTCCAAATGGATTGTACAACCCACAGAGGTACATCAAACTTCTCTGAAACTGCTTTTGAAACTCCATGAAGAAGAGTAGGAGGATCTGTTCTTGCATACAATTCTAGGTAAATGGCAATCTTTAGATCATCAGGATAGAACTTACTCTTTTTGTCACTAGAACCTGCAAACAAAAAACTGAACTGAATATGTAAGAGCCCTGTTGGGAGGGGGGGCCTAGGGGTGCGGCGGCTAGGGTTAGGGGCGGCGGCTATGGTGGAGGAGCGGTAGCGGCTAGGGTTTGGGGAGAGAGGAGAAGGAGATGGCGCAGAGAGAGAGGAGAGGAAGACACTGGAGAGAGAGGGGGAGAGGGGAGAGGGATAGGGAAGCCCTTAGGCTATTCTTTCTTGATTGCAATGATTACATAACCCCTCTACTTATAGTGCTGGGAAGACTTACATCCTAAGTAATCTAATGAGGGAAGTCCTTATAGATATGGACTCCTTCCTATCTTAGCTAATCCTATTCCTATTGGAGATCCTCCAGATATGGATAGTGGAATGGCGGGGACCCGCTCTTGCTTGTGCGCGCCTCCCCCTAGTCAGTGCCACTGCTGCCCTAGGCGGCAGCGCTGCTGCTGCTGGCGTTCGGACCGGCTAGGCCAGATGGGCCTGTAGCCCCCATCAGGTGTATGACATCACTCTCCCCCTTCTCCGATCAGTGCCTCCTCACGCTAAATCATTGTCCAATCTTTGACAGTCTCTGGCGGCGGGCTGGTGTCCGCGGCTAGCTCTGCAATCTGAACAGTTAGTTGACCCAAGGTATCATTGAAGTGGTTGGTGTTGATGTGGTAGTCGGTGAACTAGAAGTAGTAGTTGCAGGAGCCAAAGTAGCCGGAGATGTAGTAGTTGTTGGT